ATCAGAAGTTTTCAGACTTTAGGTCTGGAATCTTCTAAGAATGCTTTTGGCCTCAGGAACTTGGGTGTTGGACTGACCTGAGACCCTGGCGGTTGCCCCGCCCCGCAGGGATTCAAAGGCAGATGGGGCGGGAAGAAGCCCCAAGATTTCCCAGGGAATGGATTGAGTAGCTGGGTTGTACTGGATGCAAAGGATCAGGGAGAGTAAAGGTAATCCTAGGAGCCCCAGAAAGAGGTTGTCAGCCCCAGAAAGAGCCTGGGGGGTGTTCCAGGACCAGGGAAGTAGAGGGAGGTGAGGGCGGGGCCAGGACCAGAAGCTGTGAATGGAAGGGTGAATGTGGCTTAGGGAGTCCCGGCGCGGAGAGCTGCGCTATAGACTTACCCCAAGAGGCCTGAGGATAGTAGTGCAGGCTAGGAGCCCTCATGTTATTTTTAAAGAAACTATGTCACATTTACTGCATCAACTGGGAGCAGTTTAAAGGTTTTGTCTGACCTGCTTGATTCCAATGGTAATGGTCTGCTTTGCAATTATCATTATTTTCTTCTTTAAAATTTTTATTTATCTGGGCTAGAGAGGTGACGTAGCAGTTAAGAGCACATACTACTCTTCCAGTGAATGCAAGTTAAATTCCTAGCTACCACACTGGGCAGCTCACAACTGACTGTAACTCCAGCTCCTGGGGGATCTGACACCCCTGGCTTCCAAGTGCACCTGCACTCATGTATACGTACACATACATACACACACACATATACACATAATTAAAGATAAATCCGAAAAATATCAGTGCATGTGCGTGCGTGCATGTGTATGTGTACATGCAGTGTACGTGTGCCACGGCATGAGTGTGGAGGTCAGAGGACAACTCTTTCCTTCACTGTGAGTTCTGGGAATTGAACTCAGGTTTTTGGCTTGCATTTTTATCTGTTAAATCACCTCACCAGCCCAGTTATCATTACTTTAATCACTTTCCTTAATAATTCATGTTGGGGACCCAGGGAAACTATGATTATTTTCTTTACTTGGGAAATTCCTGTAATAGCTCATGGCCTGTTGCAGAATAGTACCCCAAATTGTCAGATATAATTAGGCTAAAAACTACTTTTTTTCTTTTTGGTCCTTTTGAGACAGGGTCTCCCTGTAGCCCCAGCTGTCCTGGAATTCACTATATAGACCAGGCTGGCCTTGAACTCACAGAGATCCGCCTGCCTCTGCCTCCCGAGTGCTGGGATTAAAGGCGTGCACCACCAAGCCTGGCTTAGGCTAAAAACTACTTTTTATAGGACTGAAGAGATGGTTCAGCAGTTAAGAACACTGACTGTTCTTGCAGAAGACCTGGGTTTGAATCCAAGAACCCACATGGCAGCTAACAACCATCTGTAACTCTAGTTCTAGGGGATCTGATGCCCTCTTCTGTCCTCCACTGGCATTGCATGACACCAGTGCCCTTAACTCACATGCAGGCAATACACACATACACATAAATTTAAATAAATAAATAAACAGATACATTTAAAAAAGTTTTTTTTTAAAAAAAACAAAACAAAACTGCTTTTTATTCAGGCCTAGTGGCACAGACCTGTAATCCCAGCTACTTGGAAGGCTGAGGCAGGAAGAACTAAAGTTCAAGGTCAGCCTGGGTTACAGTGTGAGTTCAAGGCCAGCCTAGGCATTTTAGTGAGATCTGAAAAGTAAAAAAGACTAAAAAGTAAAAAAGTGGATTAGGGTAGAGCACCCTGTATGTGAGGTTCTGGATTCAGTGCCCAGTATTGTTAAAAGAAAAAACGGGCTGGAGAGATGGCTCAGTGGTTAAGAGCACTAACTGCTCTTGCAGAGGACCTGGGTTTGATTCCCAGCACCCATATGGTGGCTATGAACTGTCCTTAACTCCAGTTCCAGGGGAATCCAAAGCCCTCTTCTGACATCCGTGGCATTGCACAACACGGGTGCACTCACATGCAGGCAATATACACATAAAATAATAAATAAACAAATAAATAAATAAAATAATTTAAAAAAAGAACGAAAGAAAAACCCCACCACTTTCCATCCAACTTGTGCATTGAATCTTAAATTCAACCTAGTTAGACTCTGGCTATCTAATGAAGCATGACTAGGTACCAGAGCAAAGGACCAGAGAGTAAATACTTCTGGTGTTGTGGGTAGTATGTTCTCAGATATAACTATTGTTGCTGCAGAAGTCGCTATAGACAGTATGTAAGCAAGTAGGTATGACTGTGTCCCAATAAAACTTTATTGCAAAAGTAGGTATCAAGGGACTGAATGGAGTTATAGTTTGCCGATCTCTGGAATGGAGGAAACCCATAGAAGTACCCCTGTGGTAAGAAATAAAAGTAGGTATGCTCTGTCTGGGCCATATCCGAATGAAGTTCTGGGTGTATGAGCTGTGTGTGTGTGTGTGTGTGTGTGTGTGTGTGTGTGTGTGTGTGTGTGAGATAGAAGAAAGAAAGAGAAATAGAGAGAGAGGGAGAATCTCAGATATGTGGCCCAGCTTGGAAAAAATATCTAGACTAAAAAGAAGATGTTTGAGGATTAAGAAATGGTAGCAAAAACCTTGCCTAAAGGCAAAAGCTTATTATACACCGGTGGCCTGGATGTTATCATCTAGTAGGAAAGAGGAGGAAGGGCAGAAACTAATGGACAGTCAAGGCAAAGCTGTCAGCCACAACTCAGAGTAAGGATGAGGAGAAGTCCTGTAGGGGAGCTGAGGGAAAAAGCCTGCAGACAGAGCACTGGGAATCAGGGCTTGCAGTGAGATCGTATGAGACACAGATGGGGAAATAGCCACCATTGGATTAGAATTAAGCTCTTTGCAAGTGAAGTAGACATCAGCTCAGTGAGCTGAAGAAAGAGTATAAGATGAGAAAATGGACACAGCAGTTGTAGACTGACTCTGAAGCCTTCTGGGTTCCAGGTAGAGATAGCACAGCGATTAAGAGCACTGACTGCTTTTGCAAGAGGACCTGGATTTGGTTCTCAGCACCCACATGGTGGCTAACAACTGTCCATAACTCCAGTTCCAGGGGATCTAACACCCTCTTCTGACCTCCAAGGGCATTGCACAACACAAGTGTACCTGCCTATATGCAAGCAATACACTCATACACATAATAATAATAAAATACTTAAGAAAATCACATAAACGCATAAAAATAAATAAAAATTAATGAATCAAAGGAAAAAAAATTTAAATCAATTAGAGCTGGACATGGTTGTGCACTCCTTTAATCTCAAAACTTGGGAGGTAGAGGTAGTCGGATCTCTGTGTGATTGAGGCCAGCCTACATGACAAGTTCCAGGTCATCTGGGGCTATAGGGAGATCCAATTTCAAAAAAAAATCCAAAACAACTAAACAAAACAACTAAACAAAAAATCAAATAGATAGGGAACCTGTGCCATTCTCTGGCAAATCTCTTCTTTCATCCTTAAGGCAGATGAGGGGGTTGTTGGTACTGATTTTGTTTACATTACATTTTCCATCACCTTCTAAGCTTAAAAAGAACTGACAGTCATCTTGCTTTTCTTCTCTCCTAGGCTCGATATGAGAGTCAGCGGATCCAGATGGAGTCAGAGCTGGCTGTACAGCTGGAGCAGCGGGTGACTGAGCGGCTGGCAGAGGCTCAAGAGAACAGCCTGCGGCAGGCAGCCTCCCTAAGGGACCATCACAGGTATTTGGGACTTGCTAGATGCTGTTTCTCTGGCAGGAGCAGGTGTTATTAGCTTCTGGGCCATGTGCTCAGGGCCTTTTACTCTTTCCCAGATGCTGGCTCCCAGCATGCTTTCAGTTTCATCAGCCAAGATCTCAGTCCTCTTGGGAGACTTGCCATGGAATGCTCATGGAGAGGCACACAGCCTGGGGCTTGCCCTACCATGGCACATAGCCCTTAACCAGCAACCAAAGGGGGCAGACTATGATGATTCCAGTTCCTTTGTTGGGTCAGTGCTGAAGTGTGCTGTCCACAGCTGCTGCAGAGGATGAGCCTCCTTCCCATCCCAGTCTTTTCTCTCACCCCATTCCTCCAGTGTTTTCTGGAACTGCTTCTTATATCACTTTCATTTGGACATGGTGGTGCAGGCTTGTAATCCAAGCTTGGGAGGCTGAGGCAGGAGGATTTTGAGTTTGAGGCAGGCCTGGGCTATGTAGTGAGATTCTGTCTTAAACAAAATAAGCCAGTCAATCAATCAATCAGTCACTTGTGTTCCCATAAATTTTCATTGCAGTCTTTGTTTCCAGGGAGTTCATTGTGAGATGCCAACTTTTTCTTAATCTGTCCTGTGACCAGGCCAGCTGATTACAACTGTCTGCCTCCCACTCCCTGACACACAATTCTGTTTTTTTCTCATTGATCACATATTTTTAAAAGATTTTATTTTTAATTATTTTCATGTGGTGGGGTGCAGGTGCCCATGGAAGCCTGCAGAGGGCTTCCTGGATGCCTTGTTGGATCCCTTGGGGCTGGTGTTAAAGGTGGTTGACAGCCACCTAACATGGGTGTTGGAAACCAAACTTAGATCCTATGCAAGAGCAGTATGCACTCTTAACCACTGAGCCATCTCTCCAGCCCCCCATCATATCTTCTCTCTCCAATCTCAGTCTCTTTCTCACCTGGGCCCTTCTAGGAAGCAGCTGCAGGAGCTCAGTGAGCAGCACCAGCAGGAACTGGCCACCCATTTGGCTCAGTTCAAGGTGGAAATGGCTGAACGAGAGGAACGGCACCTGCAGGTGGCTCAGGACTATGAGCTCAGGTACTGGTTCCTACAGTTCCCCTTTTATGTCTTGGCCTCTTTCCATAGGTAGTTCACAGACTGGGGATAGTGAAGATCTGCCTCTCAGAAGATCTGTCCTCCTCTAAATGGATCAACTCCTTTACAGTTTCAGAGGTCTGATATTCCACTTGGCTCTTCTTTTCCTTATGCCTCTGCTTATAAAAATTCTTGAGACAGCTGGGCATGGTGGCGTACGCCTATAGTCCCAGCACTCAGGAGGCAGAGGCAGGCTGATCTCTGTGAGTTCAAGGCCAGTGTGGTCACCATAGCAAGTTCCAGGCCAGCTGGGGCTACAGGGAGACCCTATCTCAAAAAGACTAAAAAAATTCCTGAGTCATCTATCTTCTTTTTTCCCTGTGTGTGTGAGTGGGGGGGAGTATATGCATGTGTTTGTGTGTGTTATGAGCAGGTACATGTGGATGCAGGTGTGTGTGTGTGTGTGTGTGTGTGTGTGTGTGTGGGCGAGAGAGAGAGAG